GTGTGTGGGCGTGCCTGTGTGCCTCCGTGTGTGTCCATGGTTGTGCCTGTATCCCTGTGTGCACATGTGTGTGGGCATGCCCGTGTGCCTCCGTGTGCGTGTCCATGGTTGTGCCTGTATCCCTGTGTGCACATGTGTGTGGGCATGCCCGTGTGCCTCCGTGTGCATGTTCATGGTTGTGCCTGTATCCCTGTGTGCACATGTGTGTGGGCGTGCCTGTGTGCCTCCGTGTGGGTGTCCATGGTTGTGCCTATGCCGGCAGGGAGACCCGGCAGGACAGACCAGTGAACTCTGTTCCCAAGCACAGGCAGGGCCTCACTCTGACGCAGACACGCCCGCGGGGCGGGAGGGGTGCAGACCCGGTGACACCCTAAGCCAGGAATCCCTTTCACCCGCTGCAGACAGGGCATAGAAATATCTCCGCAGGCATCGTTCCCAAAAGGGGAGCCGTGCACTTCCAATGCCGCCTGTTCCAATCAAACTGCGCTGGGGGAGGAGGGGGTCAGACTGCACCGGGGTGCACTTCCAGGGCCTGGGGAGGAGCGTGCCAAGTGGCCTTGGGGGACCCAGAGGGCCGTGTTGGCATCTGCCTCCTTCTGCACAGAAGGGAGGTGACGCAGGGAAGGGGACAGTCTCCCCAGCCCTGTTACCAGTTCCCCGTGGGTCCCCAGCCTTGTTACCAGTTCCCCGTGGGAGGCCCGGGCCAGCCCAGCAGCTGCTGCCCCACACCCAGCGGAGACCCTCCTGCGCCCCCTTCCCCCCCGCCCTGGGCTCCTGCTTCCTGCCCCAGCCACACGGGCACCATGGCCACCCCTCCACCAGCCTGCTTTGCACACCACCCAAAAATAACAACATTTGATACCGGGCCTCTTAAGGCTTTGGCCGGGGTCGTGTTTCCAAATTCTTGACTTAAGTATTGTACATGAGAGCTCCTTTTTTTTTTTTTTTCCTCTCGAGATGTTGGGAGAACCCCAACCCAGGAATCGGCGCTTAATGGGTCACGGGGTATGAATGGCCGCGTTGAGATGTAACACAGAACTCTTTGTACTAGGAGGCAACTGGACCTAAAAAAAGTGCCTCTCCCAGCACCGAGCAGGGCTGCGGGGGGAGGGGCAGCGCTGCCGAACACAGGCCCCGTCTATATTTGTCCACTACGGACGTCTATTTACAGCCGGGCTGTGCACACAGGACACCCTATTCCCGCCAGAGGGGCTCACAGGACATCAGTCCGCATATATTTTTGTGCTGCTGATCGTGCGTAGACATAAACTCGGCGGATAAAGTGAGCGTGTGGGAGGGCGAATGCTGGGCTCTAGGTTCACAGCCCGAGCCCCGAGCCCTGTGATGGCCACTTCCTCCTCGACCTGCAAGGTTTCTCATCCGTAAACCGGGGACCCACATGCCTGGCCCCTGACAGTCGGCTCTCAGTGACATGCGATACTTTGAAAAGGGCAGGAGATTAAATCTGAGGACTCCCCTTTGCTCCGAGGCACTGTTTCAATATGAGATGGTGGCCCGGGCGGTGTGGCTCAGTGGTAGAGCGTCGGCTTGCGGACTGAAAGGTCTCGGTTCGATTCCGGTCAAGGGCATGTACCTGGGTTGCGGGCACATCCCCAGTGGGAGGTGGGCAGGAGGCGGCTGATCGATGTATCTCTCTCATCGATGTTTCTAACTCTCTATCTCTCTCCCTTCCTCTCTGAAACCAATAAAAATAGATCTTAAAAAGATAAATAAATATGAGATATTATCCTGACTAAAGTGCATTGTCATCAGGGGGCCCAGTTCTTTTTTTTCGGGAGGTGACGCAGGGAAGGGGACAGTCTCCCCAGCCTTGTTACCAGTTCCCCGTGGGAGGCCCGGGCCAGCCCAGCAGCTGCTGCCCCACACCCAGCGGAGACCCTC